TTGTCGGTTTATTGATGTTGGGTACTGGTTGTACTTCCCGCTTGTGCTTCCACTTTGGCCAGTCTATATTCCACCTTCCCTAATTCCTATGTGTAGGAGGAGCTGATGCTTTTTAGACCAACTCATTGCTCTTGACTGCACATAATAATATTTTTAACGGATTATTTATGCTTGAATGGACTTTATTTATGTCTATCCTGAATTGTGTTCGTCTTATAAGGTTAAAGACTGTTCTGCTATTTATGCTGGTGATGATATGACCCAAAAGAGAAATAGAGAACACCTGCCTGGTGCAACCGTCTATTGTGGTATGGTCGAGGTATCCACCAATTATCTTATGTTCGTGGTGAGTCGTGGTTCTCTGATCAAAGACTACTGTACAGTGTGTATATATATGTATACACATAGAGGTTGAGTTCATTAATTGTAACCAAATCAAGAAAAGCATGAGTTTCTCCGGTTCACAAATTGAGGTTGAAGAGCTATTGCCATGCTATGATGGATTCTCAGTGAAGGACTAAATTTTTTCTCCAGCATGGATTCTCAATGAAGGACTCGTTCTCACCAAGTGATTTGAGGGACATTCATTGTCTAACCTAGACAAAGCTGTTGCTCTGCAAGTAGCTTCTAAGATGGGGCAGCATTGACACTCATGACATGAGCAGAAATTCAAATAATGAGACGTCTAATGTCCTGAATTAGTGTGTAAAAAGGAAGACGTCTGATGCCTAAACCCACAAAATTATTTTATCCCTTTCTGTTGTAAACATTTTTCCGTCTTCTAAATGATAATCTAGCTCTATTTAATGCACTGGAATTCCCAATAAGCTGCTTATTGTAGACACTGTCATCAAACAAAACTCAAGCAAGTCCCAAATAAAGACTATCACAATTGTTCAAAGATAGTTCAATAAGTAGAGCCAATAACTGTTATTGAGCTTGAAGAAATCGAATGAAGCTTGCAAGTAATAGTTGTGTGCGGATACTTAACCATTATCTTTCACATTTCAAATTGTTTTCGTAAAAAACACCTCTCTAATATTGGAGAAAGTAGCACTAGATTGCAGTGCTGGAGTCGAGGTCGCTGCTATATAGCTGGCTATTCATAACTTTGTTGACCAAATGCCTATAAGAATTAAAAATAGACAAATAAAGCATGAAACTACCAATGAAAATAAGGTTATATTTTCTCGTGGGCTTAGCCAAAATATCCAAATCTCAACTACTTCATACGAACTTGGATAAAGAATTATGTACCTAAAGATCTAGATGTAGTTTTCAAAAGGATTGGGGTACTTTCACGGATAGATATCGTTCTCCAAACAGTATGTAGCATTTAAAGCAAGGGAATAAAACAAAGAGGACCATGTATAGAATGTAGGCAACTGTATATATAGAACTAGGAGGCATAAATCGCACGATGTGCGTTAGAATGATCAGAAAACACGCCCAGTTAAACATAGATTCATGAAGGTGAATAATAATCTGTATAGTTAGTTAAGAATAAATATTATTTGATAATGACTACACGTAGAGGCTTTTCCCACTTATGACAGGCTATCATTTTTTAGGCTTTGCTTACCCAGGCACCCCAAACTATCACAAATGTTGTAGTCCACACATACCAGGGAGAAAACAAGCTTTATTGGCTCTCGTAGGGGGGAAAAAGAAAGAAAAATGATGCAAAGATATCTTTGGTAGTCATTATAGTAGCAAATTGGCTGTAATGCATATACTCTTACAACATGTTATCTAGCACCAGTACACCATAAACCTAGTTGAGAGTACATTAAGTCTCCTCTAGGGTCCACCTCTAACATATACACACAAACAACACTAAAGCGGAATAACAGAGTCAAGAAGATCAACATAAGGCACTATTACAGGTAAACTCATGCATGTTTTCTGACCAATTTTGTTCTCTATAAGTTTCAAGTATCTGGTTCCTTAATTCCACGACTTTGACATTCTAATGTATTTGAAAAGACATAATACAATGGGAAATGAAATAGGATATGTCAAAAACACAAGTTTACCATATCTGGTGAGTTGAAATGCGAAAAACAAATTGAGATATTGCATATGTAAACAAAGTACAATTTTTCCTCGGAAACTTCTGTGACAAGGAATAATACAACCTAAATTACCGAATCATTATTTGGGTTCAACGAGTGATCAATCCCTTTGAAAATTATAGGTGTCTATTGCACATATTAAAAAGAACATTCAATTACTTGAACAAGCTAACTGTGAGAAGTTAAGTTCCCAGTGATCAAATGCATAAAGTCCAATGTGAAGGGAATGAAATCTAGTATAGAAGGAAACGAATTAAGCCACAATAGCCATGATATCATCAAATATGCAGATGTTAGAACTCAAACACCACTTAAGAAGGGAACTCATAACTGATGTCAATCTTTTCTTTCCCCAACAAGACTTCAGATTGAATAAGCACATCAGAGGCAATCAGTGTATGATCTCTTTTAGTCTCTGAGACAGCACAGCTTGTGTGGTCAGCAACCACAGCAGAAGGATATTATGAGATGGGACAATCAGTAGAGGGTGCTTCAGCGCTAGGAGCTATTTCTTCCAAAAGCCCAACGAACCTCACCTTTTATACTCCAACTGGACTCCACAAGAACAAGACAAAACATTAGTGTAGCTGAGCTTCAACTAAAATTCAGAGGTGTTTGTTGTTTTTTTAGGGGGGGAGGGAGGGAGGAGGAGGGAATTAACTGCGTTAAAATAAAAAGAGGAGACAACCAAAACCAAACACAAAAAAAGAAAGCAAAAAGAATCAGCATAAATGGCTAAGTCTTTAAAGCTTGTAGGATCAAACTCGGACGGCAAAGAACTATTTTCCTGTTCATTTAGCTCCTCAACAACAGTTCGTATACTTATTACCCATTGCATCGTAAGGCCATTAGTTTGATACTGTTCCTCAATTTCTACATCATGTCTAAGCAAATAAGACTGTTTTCCTTTATATATTTTTTGGATCTTTCAAAAAGTTGGACTCTCCACATTTTACTTTTCTTATCAATCGATTTTTTCATGAAAAGAGAAGATAGAGCAAAACTACCAGTTGAGTAAAGCGATTAATCTTCTCATGAATGTGAACAATCTCCATCAGCATTTGTTCAGAGCCAACAATGATGCTGCTCTCACCCTTAGGCATGCACAACTTTCCTTCCACAAACGCCAACCACATGGCTTCGAAACATAGAGAAACAGAACAAAAAATATCAAAAGTTATGCTTCTCAATTTATAAAAATCATAAGCTCAAACAAACAAAAGGGAAAATATCAGCCAAGTGACAACAATGCTCAAAATATTTGAAAAAGATCTCCCGTACAAGAATTAAAGTCACTGCATTAATTTCAAATGATTTTTAGAAAAACCAAGATACTAAAATCTCAGGGAAAATCACAAGCCAACCACCCAAAAGTAAGGGCCCCTCTCACAAATTTTCTCACCACCAAATTGATGAAATAAAGAAAACAAGCATGTTAGAGGATGCTCTGTAACAAAATGAACAGAAGGAAGGTTAAATAATGTTCTAGGTATTTTAAATAAAGTAGAAGTATGGAATAGAATACAACATGCATAACCATATTAATTTTTAAATTTAGCATTTTTTATGCTGAAAAAAAGAATATAAAGGTACATGATGACAAAACTACCTGTGAAGGAACCAATATTACCTTTGGGCTATCTAGGCTTAAGTGTGGTTCTTGAATCTGCTTGGACCCATCAAACAAGCATTTGCAGGGCAAAAAGACTATCTATGACTCTACAATTGCTTCATATCTACAATAGAAAGAAAGGCAACACAACTTTTAAAAATAAAACAGGAAACTAGCTGAATAGGGAAGCATTGGAATAGATTATTCAAACAGAGAAGAAATAAAGAAAGAGACAAACCTAAATACAAGTGATTCTTCCTCATGAAACACACTCCCAAGTCTCAACCGCCACCAACCAAAAAATTCAAACATTAAAATTCAGAAAATCAACCCAAATAGTCACAACATAGACTCTTAGAAAAACCTTCAAACCCAGTTAACCATTCAACCTTCATACACATTAGTTTCTTAATTAAAAATAAATACACAAGATTATAGCAAGATAGAAAAGTATTTCACAGGATTCAGGGTTATCCTCTAGACTTGCTTCAAAAGTTTCATCTTATCAAGATTCATTAACAAATCATATCTTTTACACCATTTACCCTAACACTTTCCTTATGAGTTAAAAATTTTCAAAAAGAAACAACTTCCACCATAGTTTCACAAGGGCCTCCTTAGGATCTATTCTGATTTTTTCAAATAGATCACTTTCATATTTTTTCCAACCAATAAAAATGTGAAATAACATATCACCCGCTTCTGACATATTCATAATTACAAAATACCCCTCAAGATAACTTGGTAGTTTAAACTTTATAAAAAATAAATAAATTGAACACATAAATCCAATGCTCTGGAAAAAAGGAGGAAAAAAGTACTTGTTGCTTGACAGTGGCATAACCTGAAATACTCCATCTTTCTTTTTGGGATTACTGCTGCTAATATAGCTATTAGGATTATTACAGTCAAACCTACAATAGTAAAGTTTAAGCACTCAATTTACAAAAATCACCAATAATAAATAAAGGGCACTAAATGAAAATGATCAGATGGTGCGTACAACAATCCACAACATCATGCAATGTATGAAAAAGTTTAATACAAGATAGGAGCAACAGGTGAATTTAACTCGTATATAATAGAGTCCCTAATGATATTTTTCTAGCCTAAAAAAGCATAGAAAGAAGAAAAAGTACCATTACTAAAGATGTTTAGAGTGACAACATTACTCTACTCAAAGTTAAGATTACAAGCTTAGTGGAACTTTAGCAAGACAGAAAGTACGTAACATACAGCATCAGCAAAACAAAGCACACACTGAGGAAAACAACTGTACAACTTGTAGACTGACAAGAAGATAATCAAGTAGGTCATTGACACTTGACCGGAACCATAACAGATACCTTGACTGACTCTAGTGGACTAAGCTTTGTACACTCATCTCTAACATCTTCCTCCAATTCAAAACGTAAGTTCTCATCAGCCTATCAAAAATAGGAATTTGCAACTTAAAGCAGAGTACGAGCCCAAAAGATAATTTAACATAGCAACTGATAAACACTGTAATCAGAAAAGTACAAACGAAACAACTTCAAATGTGATTAGGCCTAACAACTAGGGCAAGGTCAAAATTCTCATCCAAATATTAACACAACATAAATAGCCTAGAAAAGCTTTAAACAGTAAAACGTCTCCATCTTTTGGTATAATAATTAACCTAATTAGAAATTTCCATGATTCTGAGCAACCATTTTAGTTCTCCCAATAGAGATAGACTAGGTAATATCCAACAATTGTCAAATAACGATTGCCAAATTGAGAAGTTGTATTTAAGAACAGAAGGAGGAGAAGATGTGCTCTTAGCAGTATCTTGATTTCAGCTGAGGTGAACATATACTGCAGAATTACAGTGGCTGGAATCAATAATTTGGCATCATCTTTACCACCTAACAACAAAAAAAATAAAAAAATAAATCCAATAACATAAAAGTGACTTCAAGATAATCAATGATGCAGCAGGCAAAAACGATAAGCATTTTACATAAAGTTAATATGTGCAAAAATACTGTTGCAGCAATGTCCATAGAATTTGGTGTAGTCATGTTAGAATTGACTCGAAGTGCTATGCATAAATTCAATATTCTTTACTTTTCCTTTTTGTTAGCTCGTTGGGTAACACAATTCACTTTGATTACGATACCTATATTCAGGGTTTTTATAAATTGTGATCGTAAGCTTAAAACAAGTGATAAGTGAAAGAGTCAAAAGCATGCAATAGCAAACTTATACTCCCCTCTTTCCTTGCTTCCGGTGCAAAAGGAAAAGGGGGAAAAAAAGATACCCCAAAACTAAAAGGAAAAATTATCTGGAGAAAGAGCAAGAAGTTATAATTTTCTGTTTCTCAAATATGTCCATAAGAAAGTAAAATATGTGAAAGAAAAACTCTACCCCATCCAAGCATTTTCTGTTCAAGGTGCTGGAGCTTTTTCTTCTTTCTCTTATCCACTTTCTTTGGTAAGAATGTTTCCCTTGTGAAATCAACAAAGGGTTGTCAAATCAACATGAAAAGACACGTAAATCTAGCACAATCCAGCATCCACCATTAAGCAATAAAGTTTATTGTTTGATATATATATGCTAATTGACCAGTGACTGTGAATATAAATCCTATGCATGAAGAACTGTTGTCAGGAGGAAACTTGCTATCCAGATATATTATGTATTACCTTTCTGCTTGAACCTAGCTTTTGTAACAGACATAGGAATTTTGCCACCAGCCCGAAAAGGTGTACTATCCAAAATTTGGATTGCCAAATCTACTGAAGGCTCCTGAATGCACAGCAAAAAGAACATAAGATCCATGGCTAAAAAGGATACAGAATTCAGTGATACAAATTCCAACAGTACCTTTAAAAAGGTCACAAGTGCATCCCCTTTTTGCCTTCCACTTTCTTTGTCAACATAGATATTTACACGAGACTTCTTCGTTTCAAAATCCTATATGTCAGAACCATAGGAACTTGTCAAAGAAAGTTGCATGAAGCATCTCATGTATCTAAGCACCACAAGACAAGATAGATATAACAAAGTATAACAAGCAACTTAATAGATATCTATGCCAAGCAACAAAATTTAATAATTATCCTATAAATAGCTGGATAGTTTAGTAGCCATTGCTTTAAAAACTCACACAAATGCAGGTTAAGGCACAAGGTTGAAAGTAAAAGGATGTATTTTACTTCATCTGAGAATGATTAAGACAATGGCAGAGAAGTCTCATCTCCTTTATGATTCCACATTTGGAGAATACTTCTACAACCTGCACAAGATTTCATGTTGGCCATATCCACAGAGGAAATATAAGATGCTAAAACAATGAAAGGTTCTAAACCAATAAAAGGTGTATTGAAATGCTAAATTTTCGTTTTGAAAATTCACTAGAAATACGAGAAACCAAAAGAACTACATTACTCGCTAACCTTATCAACAGTAACATCATTTGGCATGTGTGTTAACTTTCAACTCAAACCAACTGTCAGGAGACTTATTTGCTTCCTGCAAATGCATAAACTAAACTTAATATGTTGCCATAGAAATGTGTATCTTCAATATCACCACATAATAATCAAATAAAACACCCAGTGAGACGTATTCATTATAGATATAACACTAGCATCACTAACAAGTAACATCTGAAGTAGTTATGTCAACTAAAATGGTAGAAAATTATAAACCACCCCTAAATGTTTAACTTTAAAGTTGTCAGATAGAAGCCAATACCAAATCTAAAGGAACCCAGAGAGAGGAGAGAGAGAGAGAGAGATAAAGGAGAAAAACTTTTTTCTCAGCGATTTTCTCAAGCAACTTTCTCTTGCCATTAGGCTTTGCTTCCATAGTATCACTGGTACCCTTGATTTTTTTCTCTATAGAGAAATCATCAGCTTTAATAGTTGGAAAAACTTCCTCTTCTTTAACAAAAATCATATCATCTACCCCAAAATTGGCAGTATTTTCCGAATTGTCTTCCTATAACAAAGACAAAAAAATTAAAAATAAAATGGCATAAAAAATGCAAAGATAAAGTGCCAATTCGTGCTAATAACCAATGAACAGACTCAAATGCGAATCTGAATGATGCCGCAGTTTCTCTGTCCAAACTTGTTTAGGGTTTACCTTCAAACCAATTAAAAATCCACCAGTCTCAAGATGACGTCCTTCCCGTCTTGTTTGCAGAGATACGAAAGTACAACAGCAAAAGAGACGGCACCTGCACAAGCACAGAGCATACTGTCCACGAATATTTTGAAAGTTCATTTACGATCATGCAGGAGAAAGGACAAAAAACGAAGAAGAAATGAGAGATGGAACGTTTTGGAGAGGAGAAGAAACGTAGAGGAGGCAAAGTTTCTAAGAATCGAAAAGCAAGAAAGAACTGCGTGGTCTCAATTCTTTACCCTAGATACCTAGTTTTAGTTTTGACCAAAACGATGCCGCTTATCCTAGCATGTGACCAGCACGAGAGCCGATGAAAACATGTATTTCAGACCTAAATCATTCCTTGGCTCTTATACTATTTATGTTAATGAACCCAAGCATTTGGGGCTTTTACTTGAAAGTTCAGCCCAATCTGCTCCATAGGCTCCAATCCTTTCCATAAGCTTTCTCAACCCCATCCCCTTGCCCCAACCCAATGGTTAAATTGGCCAAATTACCCTGATGTCCAAATTTTTCCGTCCAAAGCAAGTTTACAACTGAGAAAAATCAAGCAACTAAGGTCAAGAACTAATCGTGCCCTTTCCTTTGCAAAATGTGGAGGCTTATTGCCCTGTTGATGAAGAAACAATCAATGGATTACTAGTTACGGAGGATGATTACATGGTGAGTACAGGCTACTGGCTGGTGCCAGAAAACAACATACGCAGACACACAGTGATCAGTATCATCCATCAGGTATGATATGATGAATGCATTTCATTAATTTGTATTTTCCACAATCAAGAACTCTTTAGTATTCTTGGTTTGAATTTATTAACCCATTCTCTGCTGCCCAGAACAATACTTTTCCGAATATGTTGAAGAAATCCAGAGAAAAATCTTCAAGAAACCTGTTTATACTTCAACTTCTTTGAGAAAAATACCAAGAGAAACATTAAAAAAGAAAGAAAGAAAGAAAGAAAGAACCCATTTGATCATGCTTTTGCGCTTCTACAGAAAGCTGCGGCTTTAGCCGATCTTGGGGAAAACAGTGAATATCTTCCATTTCTGGCACTCAACTATTACGATCGCTACATGTCAAGAGCTGAGCAAGGATATATGGTAAAATCCCACTCTCGCGATACCTATTTTCAGTAGTGTCAGTCATCCCAATGACTATTGCTGATCATAACTGTTAGGATCCAAGCGCGGAATATACAACTATTGAGATATCAAATACACAACAATTTAATGGCAAACAAGCCATAAGCATGAATGATAAATGACATAAAATATTTAACGTGGTTTGGCTCCACCATCGAGCCTACGTCCACGGAGAAAAACCCGTTTTTTATTATGAAAGAAAAATTTTATACAAGAATACATCTTGAATCCAAGTCCAATCCTTATATACCATCTCTTATCTCCCAAGAATCCTCTCTTACCCCATGTATAAGGCTACATGATGCTCTCTTGTGTACCCCTGTGTAGTATGCCAAGTCACCTATTTATAGAGAACATTATTTGGTCAAAACCCCAATAACAATAGGAAACCAATTCTAATTCCTACACTTGTAGGAAATAACTTCTAATTCTAAACTAAATAGAATATTTCTTGGCTACTACTTCAAGTAACTAAAATAAATTAGAAAACTAGTTACTTCCACACAAAACAAGAAACCTACCTAAAAGGAATTAAGCCAATTTTCTAACAAATCTCCACCTTGACGAAATTTTTTTTTAAGCAACCATTTGCCTTCAACTACCAAATAATATGGTACCAAACTACACACCCGAATCAATATGGTCCTAACACCAAATTGATTCAATCGACAAATAAACATATGTAGTTACACCGAGTCCAACCTCCAGTTGACTCCTGAGAAAGTGTCTCAATTCACCATCTCCCTTTGCAGGATTTCTTCTCATCACCACTTGCAACCCGGGATCTCCTTCTGTGAGCTCTAACCCTAACTATTGAATCAACCAAGTGGTAAAATCACCATACTTCTTCCCATTCTCAAGACTGTCTTATCACGTGTGATTTTTAAAACTCCACCTAAAACGAAAAATTCGTAACTGTCAGAATTTTCTGGCGCATGGAAACTAGATCTCCTTGTTTCTTTGGGACACGTGCCACACCACCCAAAAAATATAATTGAAATCTAAAAATCACCGGGATGAAGTATCAACCGTTGGAGGTGTGAGAAAGTTTCCAACGATTCATGTCCAAAATCAACATTGGACTCCACATTTTCATTGACCCTTAAATCACCCGCCTAAATTCACCGTCAAGAATCTCCATACTTTTCGACTTTCCATCCTTCACCATCAATACTTTTTACCAAACCATTGAAACAAGGATATCACTAATTATATTGTTCAATTAGTAACAACTACCAATCCACTTGATTTCAATAGTTAACCAGGATCCAACATTAAACAACCAAACTCTTGATCCAACCATTCAATTTATTGGCATCCAAGTGCTTGTAAGCAACCCAGTCTCACAACCAATCTCTGATACCACTTGTTTGGATCCAAGCGCGAAATATACAACTATTGAGATATCAAGTACACAATAATTTAATGACAAACAAACCACAAGTATGAAAGATAAACGACAAACAATATTTAACGTGGTTCAGCTCCACCATCGAGCCTACGTCCACAGAGAGAAATCCGTTCTTTATTATGAGAGGAAAACCCTATACAAGAATACAATTTGAACCCAAACCCAACCCTTGTATACCATCTCTCATTTCCCAAGAATTCTCTCTTACCCCATGTATAAGGCTACATGATGCCCTCTTGTGTACCCTTGTGTAGTATGCCGACCCACCTATTTACAGGGAGCATTATTTGGTCAAAACCCAAATAACAATAAAAAATCAATTCTAATTCCTACACTTGTAGGATATAACTTCTAATTCTGAACTAAATAGAATATTTCTTGACTACTGTTTCAAATAACTAAAACCAATTAGAAACTAGTTATTTCCACATAAAACAAGAAACCTACTTAAAAGAAATTAAACTAATTTTCTAACAATAACAAGAATTGATTGCCATGCAGGCGCATCCTGATGCCGTGTACTTTATTGTGCTCAGTTGTTGGATCTTGGCACTGAAGATAACACATCCATATGTTGATCATGTTTTGGAATATGACCCTGAAGCTAGAGCCGCCGAGAATCATGTCTCAACTCTGCTTTCTTTCAATTTGAATTCAGTTACTCTCCTGAATTTTATAGACTACTTCATCCAGGTGGTAGGACATTGGGTTAACAACCCAACTGAATTCAAGCGTTGGGCCATATTTTGTATGAGACTGATGTTCTACAGTAAGTACTAAGTTTTAAGTTTACTAGTTGAATATCTGTAGCATCTGATGTTATAAGTATGGGGAATTCTGCCATGGAAACTTCCCCTGAAGCATTTACCACTTTTCAATTGTAAAATTAGTCATCTACCTTCATTCTTATTTTTCAAAATATTTTCTTGAAAAGATTCTTTCTTTGTTGTTTTCAAGGTTGGGAGGGATCGCTAATTTTGATGACTAATGTTTTGTTTGTCCTTCATTTCTAAAAATGTTTGTGGACAATGTTTTCCTTACTAAATTGAGGACGAATACCTTATTTTCCATCAAATATTTGTCTGATCCTTTTATTTTCTTTTAATCCTTAATGGTATCTCATCTATGCGAATTTGCTAGTGCATGTTATTGCTGATATAACTGTAGTGCAACTTCAAGTAATAGGATTGATTACTCAAGAAATTTATGGTGGCAGCTAACTTTTCGGTGGCCGAGAATGTGCTCCGTTCATTTTTTGAGCTGCTTAAGATGTTATGCTTTAAGCTTGCAGTGGGATTATAAGTTCTTAGCTCTCTTTTTTATTGTCTTTGGCTGATTAGTGATTAAATATATAATTATATACCCCGTTTAGGATTCAAAATCTCTTTTTGCTTTTATGCATTATGCTTTGACGTGAAAAAGAAGTAATTCTCAAATTCAGTTTGTGAGTGTAAACACTTTGTACCATATTTAATCCATTTTCCATTGTCCAGATATCAAAGTCCTGAAGTTCTGCCCATCCATCATTGCCAGTTGCAGTGTTCTCTCGAAACTGAGCAATCATCCACACTTCAAGGAAATCTTGCACCACCTTTAATCAACGACTGGGTTGAATCTGGAGCAACTGCTAGAATGCTTTCACAGTGTGACACCGCATTAGTTACACTTCAATCTGAACAAATTCTTTTGGGCAAGTGCATGACATTCTGGTACTTAGACTATAACAACTGCTGCTTACCGTAGCTCATTACAAGAGTTTGGTTATGACTGGAGATATTCTGAGTAACTGAGTTGTTTGTGCCTAAGTAACACATGCAGGAACTCCTTTTGCAGTTTTGCTACTTCTTTAGCCCCTGTTTCTGACTGTATGATGATTGCCTTCATAACTGGCTTGCTTTCTTTTATATGCTACAATCACAAATGCTTTAGAGTTTTCTTTTCCATGCTATGTATTCTTCGTTAGATATATAATGCACACACACACACAAGGACATCCTAGTATTCTTGTAGATTTCTATCTAAGTCTAATCGGGACCATCCCTCATCCCTCAGGCCTCAACTACAAAATTTCGGCAAAATAGAACTACTGATCTTTTCCAAAAGTACACATATCCTTAGCCCCCAACCAAAACAAACCAACTGAATCATACTCCAGCACAAATGAAAGAGGGAGGCAGGAAGGGATGGAAAAGTAATCAAGTATTAGCAGTTTATGTATCACGGAATGCGGTAAATGTTGGAGTGAGTTGTTAGGTGTTGATATCCTTATGATAAACACTCTTGCAACTATCGTCATCCAGGTGCCAAAACAACTATTCACACTTAACTGCAGATATCATAAAAGCAAGCATTAGGAGTTTAGTTTACAATGTCAAAGTATCATTACTATGAAAATACGACATCAGAACAAGTGTAATAGGCTAATTATATTAATATTTGTGTTCATGATCATCTATTTTATTCATGGCATGGCACACTTGTCGTATAATTGGAATTGGATTTATCTACCTTAATTATCCGACTAGTTTTTGCCAGGCACCTGGTATCGTACCCTCTTCCTCTAATTGAAAATTTTGCTGATTGACTTCCAAACCTAGTATTTGTCATGGATGCAGATACTTTCCTCGTATGAGTACACAATAGCAAAGATCACCATCTGCTGTGAACGTTAACAATGTAAAATTAGTTGTATCACGAACGGGAAGGGAATATGTTGGCTAACATTTTTTAGTCCATTCTAGCTTGAGCTGATTGTTCAATGTTGTCAATGTGTAAATTCTAGTAAGTAGAATGCGAAGGACCTCAGCAAGAGACAATTGTATTCAAGTTATGCTGGTTAGACTACCCCTCTCTTTACTCTTGAGGCATATGTCTCCAGTTGCGAATTCCACCAGATTAGTTAGG